GGGAAGGAAAAGGGGGGGAAGGAAAAGGGGGATCTACAAAGGACACAATTACATTCAGAGTGACTGAAAGGCCTGGCTGTTCATTAAATGAATATTGCAAAGAATCTCTGCGTTTATAATTTGTGCCACACCACAAGAAAGGTGCTAGATCCATTTGGGAAAGACTAAGAACACCTGCTCTTAGTCAAGCCCCATATCTAAAGATATTGAACAGGAAGAGGACTCAGATTTTTCTTTACACTCATTTTACACATCATGTCACATGGAATAAAATATCATTAAAGAAATCGTACCTTGACATTTTTTATGTCCAGGCTAGCACCAGCTTCCAGTAACAGCTCCACTGCACTAGTATTGCCTGATGTTATTGCCCAATGCAGTGCAGTATTCTTTTGAACATTGTCTACGGCATTGAGAGAGGGATTAAACTTTAAAAGAAACCTCGTGGGTTCTGGTCTAGATGAAAATAAAGCATAGAAGTTAACAAACAGAAGATAACCTACACTGGAGATGAAATTTTTGAACACCTTATAAAAGCTACTGTTCCTATCTATGAAATAACAGCAGATACATAATGTTTTATCTCAGAACAAGCTCATCAACAATAGATCCAAGTTTATAATTCAGGACTCACCCTGAAGGTTTTTCTCCAGACTAAGTTATCTTACCATTTTAACAAATGTGAGGTATATACACAGATTATATCTTTCTACAATGCTGTGTATAAGCTTATATCTCCACATTTAATTTATTCTAAATGCATTGTACTGTGTCCATCTCCATTTATTTTCATTTGTGGGAAAGCACAATAACACTGCAACCAGTTCAGCCACAAACTTGAACTTCATTAAGAAATTCTTTTGACTTTCTTTGCTATATCCAATTAACTACTTTGTAACTCCTGATCTCTGAAATATTGCATATTTCAGTACAACTAAAAGGGAAAGATATGTCAGTTTAACAAAGTTTTCATGAAAAATTCACTTCACTGCTTCTTAGATACAATAAAACAGCTTCTTTTTAAGTTTTTCACTACTTACCCAATGGCTTTTTGTGCTGATAACATTAAAGGTGTTTGCCCATTGAAGTCTGTTGTGTCTATGCTCTAAGTATAAGAAAGAGACAACAAACAAGTAGTTACAAGTGATTTCAGGAAATAGGGTCAGATTTGGAGCTATACAACCAGCTTAGCTTCATTGCAGTAGTGGAAAGAAACCAAATTACACTAGCCAAGCAGCCAACCCTCATTTAAACTATTTTTCCCCCCTCTAGGAGTCTTGCATGTCAGTCTTTTCAGAATATGCTGAGTCTCCTCTAAGGATGTTTTTAAGGGAACCATGTTAACCATATTTCTTGTCCACTTTTGCACGAAAATAGTATAAATAAAATGTATCTTGGAAAGCAATGCTAACCTTCTTCCTTGTGTAAAGAGAGGTACCTTACAGAATGTCCAAATACATAAAATTGCTTAATTAAAACAACAAAAAAGGGTTAATTAGTATCTCAACATATAATTTTGTAAACATCTAACCTGTGTTACCTAATCTTCTTCCTTCTTCACAATAAAGGTTTCCTTCTTCCCCACCTCTACTCATCCTTACCTTAGAGCATATTTACTTAGAATAAATGTTTAACCACTTGGATTTTTTAGGAGAAGATAAGTAGGTTAAAAACTTTATTGATTTTGTGATATACATCATCTATAGGCACATTCCAGAAGTCAGTTACTGTACTAAACAGAGCTCTATGAGAAAGAAAATTAACTTACTGTATCTTTAAATCTTAATGCAGTGTTTCAAATAAACAGTCTAGTTCATGTAAGAACTCTCCTCTCATTTTTATTAACAAATTGTTACACTTGTCATTAATTCTGCTTACTTCAGATATAAGCTAAGCAGACATCAACAGGAATGGATACAATATAAAATTAGAGAAAATATAGAATATAGAAATTCCTAATAAAAATTTCACACCTAGTCTGATTATCTGTTCTGCACACTTCAACTTATGGAGAGTTGCACAGATTATGAGTTACAAATTTGTAATCAAATAGTAAATGTTTCATGATGTATATACTTCATATATTGCTTTTTGTTATCAAGTTTAAAAGCCAGTTGTTATTTATACAGCACCATAAATCTGTACAGCCTTAACAACTCTCCTTACACACTCTGAATTGTACAGGGATGACAAAAACAGTGATGAGTACTAAAAACATATTAAAAAATAATAATCTTAGTTTCTCTGAACTTATGGCACAGGGAAGTAGTTGTCAAATACCTGCTTATCATCTAGAAAACAGAACAGTTAATACTGAAATGTATGGCAGGCAGCTACTCATAAGTAGAATACCTGGGACATAAACAACATACCTGGCCTTTTGATATGAGGTAAGCTACAATAGGCATATGTTGAAACAGCACTGCTAAATGAATGCTACTAAATCCTTCCCCATCAATAAGACTGGGATCTGCTCCACATTTCAACAATAAGATGACCATAGGTAGGTGTCCTTGTCTGTAACGATATAAGAAATAGAGATGAGAAAAAAAGCTGCAAATTTTAATGAAAGCATTGCCTTCATAATTCTCATAGAGACCTCAATCAAAAAAATTTCCTTTCTTCATATGTGAAAGTTTATACTCTGAGACGTTATCCCAGAATAATTATTTAAGGCTGTATTTTTTCAAAATGAGTAGTGCTTTGTTCTTTTGATCATTTTACTCAAGTTCTGTCTTAGAAGCCAAAGTTGTATAATTTTAAACTGTATCAGGTCAAACAGTGTATCAGCTAGACAGGCTGAAGTCTGAGGGGAGCTGTGACCACAACTTTTTCAGACTTAAACTGTGCCCTGATAAGCATCAAAAGCAAACTTTTGCTTTTTTAGATACTTTTTTAGTGACCTAACACAGCTGAGTCTTCTTTGCCCAGGAAGGCAGGACTTTGGAGGCAAAGTCCAAACAGAACTGTTTCATCCCTAGGGAAACTTCAAAAAGTGAGTCCAAGTGACTAAAACACAGATACACACATAATACAACTCTGTGGTCTGCAAAGTTGCCAGGAATCAGAGAACAGACTTCAGCATTATTATGGACATGCAGTGAAATTCCTTATACTTAAAAAAACCCCAAACCTACCACAGAAGTTGATTTAAGATGACCACTGCTGTGCTACACAAAATATAACTGTTAATTTTACCAGATTTGCAATTAGCAGTTGCAAGCAGCATACCTAACGGCCCAGTGAAGGGGAGTTGAATTCAAATCTCCACCCAGCTGATCCACTACTGCACCTTTGGAAATATAGTACCTGTGTAACAGCAACACAGTAAGATTAAGACTAGACATAATAAAATATTAAAACATTATATTAAGGATAACATAGCTCTAGTAGTAAATAGCTCATAATTTAAAAATTCACTAGAGAAACAAATGGACAAGAGTATTATTGCAGTAAAGGATGCTGTTTTGATAAAATGTTTAAGAAAAAATACAGTAATTATCAAGGCACTTATAAAATCAGCTTTAATCTTTGTTAAACAAAACAAACCCAGTAAAATCTAATGAGTTCATGTACTACCTGACTTAACATGTAAAGAAATAGTGGTAACTTTACATTTCAGTGATGCTTTCACACAGGTAATTGGATTAATTTTTGAATTCTACACTTTTCTTATCAAGCAGCACTTTGTTTTGAAGTATAACTGCAACCAAGTGATAAAAACAGTGTTGGAATACTTGTGTTACTTTCACAAGTAGTCTATGGCTTACCTAACCAGCTCCTGTCTGTTGTTTATCGCTGCCCAGTGAAGAAGAGTCACATTTTCTTTGTCTGGTTGTCGAACATCATACCCTGCTTCTACCAGTTCTTTGCATCGCTCTACTATTCCATACCTTAAATGAGAAAAAAAACATATCGATTTACTTATCATTCATTTGTTAAGTATCCTCCAGTTTAGAGACAACTACATACTAAAGAGAAAGTAAATCTCAAAGTAAGCATCACCCAGCATTTCCTACTTGAGCAAATTCCACATTGCATTCAACGGAAGTCTTGCAAAGAGATTTGGGCTGAGCCTTGATGAGCAGAATTTTCTGTGTAACAAACCTGTTTGAGATCCTGTTGTTTATGACAAAAATATTTACAATAGTACCCTTAAGTGATCTTTCTTCTTTCACTATGGGAAAAATGAAACTATAAAGTCTTCCTTTGTAAAAATATCCAACCTGGCTCAAGTTTGAAGACACTCTCATCTATTTCAACACTTTGCACACATATATATATATACTTACCGTATATAAGGACATACTTACTGTGTAGCCTTGACAATATCACAGGTGCCAGGGTTTTCGACCATGGGATACGGTCCTGGCAGCACTGGTAGGTCGTTATCCCCGTGGGCACTACGACAGTTGTGCATATGAGGTCGCTGAAGCCCATGGCAATGGTTTTTACACTGTTGGTTTACAAAACATCTATCAACAACCCTTATTGACACACTGTCCACCACAGCTCCCTCTTTACCAGACACACAGGCTATACTGGTCCAGTTGCGTTAATACAAATGAAGAAGGTGATTTACAGCACAGTTAAAGCCACCTGAGGAGAGACCAACCCTTTTATTCAGCACAGGGACACGGGAAGGCAGAAGGGACACGGTTAAGGTCCATCAGGCCAAATTACATAGGCGTTAAACACCTGGCAGAGCTGGTTCCCCACACACACCCGTCCCCACAGCACCGCGGCCACCCGAGAAGTGACAGCCGGGAGTGGGTTTCGAAACGCAAGGCCGCTGAAAGAGCC